AAAAAATTATTTGAAAATTAAATAAGTAATTAATAATAAATTACAATTACTTTTAAATAAATTAGCATATTGTGGCGACTTTTGTATTTTATAATTTTGAATATTTAAGTAAATCCCATAATTTTAATTGTGAGTTTAGAGAAAACCAAAATAAAGAGACGAGAGTACATTAGAGAAATTGTATTACTTTAAAGTAGATACATGTACATATAATAAACAATATATATATATATGAAAAACATTTTATGATTAGTCCAAAGTTAATGATATAGTGAAAAAAATTAGTACGCCATAACTTTAGCTACTATATTGAATTATATTACATTAAAATTAGTTCATTTTATTTAAAACTAATAAATATCTATAAAAAATATCTACATAAATATCTATATAAGAAATATCTATATAACCACATGTGTTTTTTAACTACATGGAAAAATATAAATATATAATCTATAAAGATAAAGTTAGTTAATTCAGACATTTAATAATCACCGTAGCAATTTGAGAAGAAAATGCATAATATAACGATTATACAAACGAATCAGCAAACAAACAATTCAGACGATAAGTCATTGGATATTATACTATGATATGTCACCAAAATTCTACAATTTTAATACCTACTGATGCAAGAGTCTTGTATCTTTTCGAAGTGTCTTCAAGCACGGATATATCGTGTTCTTTTGAGGAACAATAATTTCATTCTTTTCACTGCAAAAAAATGTGTCTTTTATTCGATGAATTAAAACAACAAAAATATGGGCCGTATAAAATGTAGTGTATACTTTTTATACCAATAAAGTTTACATATTTAAGCATAGAACAAGTCTATAAATATACAAGTCTATAAATTTCAATACAGGCACACATTTTGACGCTAGCTTTAGAATCGTTAACAATTTACCACGATTATTTTAAAGTACAAAATACTATTAAAATGTAATGATATATTTTTGATTTATAATAGGTAAAAACTTATGTTATATATTTAAAAGATAAAAACAAAATTTTAGCTTCCACCAAGGAGTTATTTCTTTTTTGTTTATATAAACATAAAAAATATATGTTTATATCTACAAAATGGACAATATTATATCCTGTCATTAAGCCGGTCATTGCTTAATAGGAAAGGTGTTCTCAAGGTTTGACTGATGATATTTGCGACTTGTGCGAAAAGGAAAAGCAAGAATTATTTTTTATTAAATAGCTGATATTCTGTAAATGTTTAGCATCAACAAAAAGCAAGCCTACTAATATCAGAAATCTTTCTAAATTCTCAAAAAAAAATTTAATAAATTGGTTAAATTGATGCAGTTAATTCTGGCATTAAATATACACGTCACATAGATACTGTTAAGTTGACCAATTCCATACGAAAAGATAGTGCATTAGAAAACAAAAGCTCTAGTGTAACTCGCGATCTGTATGGAGGCTTCGCTTTTAACCGTGACATAACCTAACATAACACACTTTAACTATATGCTATGGTAATACCCAATATTCTTTCTTTCACTGAAACCATATTATGAAATAGAATATTAGAAAGAGATATATATATGTACATAAAATTAAATGACTTTTAATAATTCTAACGTTATTAAATTATAGAAATGGTTATAACGAATATATTTAGATTTTGTTCTTCTACACCCATATGTTTTAATTTTTTGATATTAAATGAGTAATTTAAATAAATGTGCAATGAATTTAAATGAATAGTAAGAAGAGTAAGGAAAACAAAAGTATATAGAAATTAGAAATATGAAAATTATGTATAAAGAATGGTGCTTAAAACAAACAAACATAGACTTATGAGTGTACCCGTTATTGTTATTATTATGCCCATTTTGTATTTGCGCCACATTATCCTCTGAATCTGACCTGCTTAAACTGCCAGCATCATCAGGCTGGTCATCACCTTCATCATTATTATCTTCGGTGCTACCATTGGAATGTCTATAACAAAAAAAAAATATATATATATTACCTTTTTCTCTCTATATATTTAAATATATTTTTATTTATCAAACCTTGATGTTCTGTGACCATTTTGGAAAGTATTACGGTTCGCTTGCGGACTATTATTCGCCATGGGTACTTGATTTGCTTTTTCTAAATATCCTTGATATTTTTTTAAATCTATTTTTAACTTTTCCAATTTGTGCTCGGATTCGTTCAGTTGTCCTTCCACTGTCATTGGATTTCCTAGCGATGAGTTTGCTTCATAAACGACTTTCATTTTCATTAGACCATCACGTGCAGCTGTTTCTTGACTGATTTTTTGTTGCAATTCAGCAATTTTAGCTTGTAGCTTTTTACGTCGCTGATTCGGTGGTAAATCACTAAAATCTTCCTTTTGGCCGTCCGCAGTTAATGAATTCTATAGAAAATAAAATTTGTGGATTGGAAAAAGAAAAACCGAAAATATTAAATAATATATTAAATAAAATGAATAAATTATATTTATTTTATGATATAGTGCACGATTTAAGAACAATTACAACAATAACAACAGGTAATGTAAATAGTGATACAAATCAAAGTACAAATATTATATTGGACAAACATTAAATACAAATTATTATTTAATTATCCATGCAAGTTTTTAAATTAATTATTAAATTAATATTATACTCAAACTTAAAATAATATTTGTTTATATTTTATATATATTTTTCATAATAAAATTAAAAATATTTGCTTTGTGATAAAAAATATAATTAAACTATTGCAAAAAGTAATAAAGTGATTTAATGACCAAAATGGAAAAATCTATGAAGTGAGAATAGTGAGTATTACAAAGAGTAGATAGATATGTACTTAATTTATAATGGTTAGTATATAATAATAAAGCAGCGTTAAGTCATACCTTCATGGTGATACAGGCTTCAATAATCTTCTGTTGCTACGACAGAGTTTTTGAAATCGTATCACATATTTAAATGCATTTATATGATTGAAGTTTAAATTGTAGGCGTGTTCGTTTGTATATATATGTGTATATGTTGTTTATATGTACATATATGTGAGAATTTGCATGAAAGTTTATAATTTAGTAAAATGTAAAAAGAATTTATTAATTATTTTAATTTAAATTTTGAAAGCCAAAATAATGTTTTTATAAAAATATTTTGTTTAAAAAAAATATTAATATATAAGATGTAAAAAGAAAAAAAAAATAGAGAAAAAATATATATAAAAAATTAGTTATTTAATAAATTAATTTTATATATAAACGTTAAATAAGAAATATTATAAAAAAGGAATTAAATAAAAACGTAATTTATTTAAAATTAATTACAATGATAAACAACAAATACTAGAATGCAATATAAATACACATTTAGAGGAATTAACACATGTAGTTTATTTTTATTGGTTTAGAAGCTTTAGCAATTTAATACAAAATTTTATGGTTATTACATTTTTGTGACTAATTATTGACTATTGAAGCACCAATTTTTGAACGATTTTTTTGAAAACAAAATAAAAATTAAAAAATGTCATAGAAGAAAATATTTTAGAGATTTTTTACGTGTATGATTTTATATTATAAATAGTGTTACAATTTTTAAATGAATATGAATTCCTTTGAAAAGTTATTATAAAACAGTTGTTATTTTTGAATTTTGAATTTTAATTGAAGTTATAACATATTATAACAGAATCTATAATATTTTGCATTAATATTGAATTCATAGTTTAAGTGAATATTTTATTTAGACACTTTTTATAATAGGACAACCTTTTCAAGTCACTTTGAGATGAAATATCCATCTATTTCCATCATCCGTTTCTATTAAAGTAGAAAAAGATTATGAAAGAGACTATGCCACTCGATATCGAATATTATAATTTTGCTTCTTCTGTTCAAATATGATTTTAAAAGAAGCTAAGATACTTTTGCTCAATGATATTGGTCTTTATTGTGTCTGTCAAGTTTCAATAAATAGTTGACAAATTTGTCAATTAAATAAAAAAAGGTGTGTTATGGTATATATATATAACTGCTTGATATACAATTATTAAATTTGTCAAACTGACACAATTCAGAAAAAAAAAATTAATTAAATTTAATTAACATTGATCCTAATACAAATTTATTAATTTATTTATTTATTAAGTTTAATTCATAACTGTCAAACATAATATAATTGATTATGTCTTAATTTAAGTTAGCTAAATATTCTCAAGGTATTTGAAAAGTTAGTGGAAAATCCTCAAGTTTGTTGAAGATCCTCAAGCTAGTTGAAGATTATTAAGCTAGTTGAAAATTCTCAAACTTATTAAAGTTTCCTAAGCTGGTTGAAGATTAGCAAGTTAATTGAAGCTTCTTAAGTTAGCTGAAGATCCTCAAATTATTTGATAATCCTTAAGTTAGTTAAAGATCAAATATCACACGTTTAGTTGGAAAGAAATTATATGAGAAGGTATAAACATATAAATTCTAAATATCTATTAGAAAAAACTGCTGGTATCTCTTAAATTTTTTATTTCTCTAATATTTTCTTCAAATACATAAACGATAAAAAATAATAACAAAAGCAATTGCGCAAACAATTATTAGAATTTGTTAAACACAATAAAGATTGTAACTTATGTTAAACACAACAATAAATAACTTTTCGAATTAGTTAAAACAAAAGCATTTTTGACATGTTGTTCATTTTGGGTTTGAGTGTGAATATAAGAATTGTTTTTAGCCTAAAACATTACAACATGAAACAACACTTTTCGGACATTTGGTACTTACATAAAATTCAGTTACGATTTAAATTATCACAAACGTCCATATATTTTATTTTTATATATATAATTTTATCATGTTTTCAATATTTGTGGATGAGGAAAAGTTTGTAGAAAAATATATAAAAAGAAAAGACATCATGAGAAATAATGAAAATAAATACAAAAAAGAAATACATTCTATATTAAAACAAAAATCTACAAAGTACAAAAGCACATTTAAAAACTAATAACAACAACAAATAATAATTTAAATTATGTTTTTCAAAAAGCAATAAAATATAAAATGCAACTAACAAAAACAATTTAAAAACAATGAAAAATTTAAATTATAAAAAAAGTTACAAAAAGTTACAAAAAAAAAAATTCAATAACCATTTAAAGAAATAAAAACAAAAAATATATAATTACAAAAATATATTTTTATAGGAAATATAAAATAAAGCTTAAATAACAAAAAATTTAAAACACGTAAAAAAATTAAACTTAGAATTCATTTTTAAAAAGCAATTGATTTCCTTAAATGAAACAATTAAGCTTGTGGTAATGAAGATATATATTAAATAAATAGTTTAACATATTCGTAATTAATATATGATTAATTTCTATTTAATAACACATAAATTCATAAATATTTTGACATAAAATATTTAAGAAAAAAAAGGGTTTAAATATATTATTCATAAGGGGATATTATATAGACACTTTTAAAAATGGATTTTTTGTATACTTAATTGTCAATTATTTAATATAACAATAAATGAATTTTTATTAAATCAGTAAAAATAGTTTTGTAAAAAGGAACGATAATCGATTAGATTAAATTGATAGATTGATGTTTACAAAATAAACAAATAAAGAATAAAGAAAAAAAAAATTTAAATAATAATTTATCTCTTTAACAATAAAATTAGGTTTTAACTCACAAAATTATTTAATTTATTTATTAATTGTATAATTTTTATTTAATTAGGTAATAATATAAAATAAGAAAACGACAATCCCTACTCGATATCAGACAAGCGAAACTAGGAAATAGAGAACAGGAATCATCACATAAGACTTTAAATTAACTATTAATACTACATATATTCGAAGTTTTGTAACTCTATGTATTAAGATATGTGATATCACTTGTAATTTCATTGAGCGATTTGAATTTAATAAATATTCTATCCTACTTTTCGTACAATAATATTTATTTGAAACTTGTCCAAGTAGATACAAAATTAGGTTAGGTAAAAAGGAAATTCTGTGACAGATTCCTGTTAAGAATTATTCGTAGACTGATGTTATGTGACACCGTTCCTCACAGTTTAAGTAATTCAATAACTACTTGCATCAGTCAAATAAATTTATTAGCTTTGAAAATCATATTCAAATTCCTATATTCATTACTAATAGTACTTTAATTTTCTCCCTTTCTCGTAGCAGCGGCCACACCTAACCTCGTCGAGATGTTAGAAATTCGACTTACTGCCTGTGTTTTCTATTGCTAACAACATGAACAATATTACAGATTTCGATAATATTAAAATTAATTATATGCCTAGTTTTAGATGGGTTAATAACCAACAAAATTTGTTAAGTCTTATGCGATAGTCCACCTCTTGTGAGATATCTTTAACTTTATTAAGAATGCAAAAGTGGTATGAGTATATTTTTCAGAGTATGATTCAAACTAATTTCATGGTTTTACTCGTCATTTCGAGCGATAACCACAAAAAATCTACACTATATAGTAATATCAGTTTGACGAACAACTTATAATAATATTCAATTATTTCAGGCACAAAATTTCATTTTTTTTTTGGCTATTTGCAGATGTAAATTAACATAAGGTAGATATCATTAATTCAAAAATTACGTTTTGGTTTTTAAATGTTCTTTCTACATTAAATTATTTATTTAATTTAATTATTTCTAAAATAAAAAAATTATTTCCTATTACCATATACTATTATTTTACTATCAATATAAGTTATTAAATTAAATAAAATTTTTAATCTTTTCATCAAACTATCAAAGTGGCTATTATATTACGACAAATTTTTTTTATATTAACACGACAATAATTTAAATTTTATGTAGATATATAAAAAAATATTTAGAAACACTTCCGAAGTATAATAACTAATTCATTTATATTTGTAAAGTTAACAATTAAATACACAAAATTTAGGCGTATTCCTAATTAAAAAAAAAAACATTTAGACTTAAAAGAAATGTCAATACATAATTTTAAAAAGAAACTTGCAGTCTTTTATATATAATAAATATGTAAAATATTTACCTTATTACTACCAAATATATTGAATATTCCTACACGTTTCTTAAGTTTATTCGCACTCATAGTGCCTTTCATTGTTAAATGGTTTGACTGCATATTACTGTAGTGTGAATCTTGTGATGTATCGTGATCTTGTTTAGATAAATCCTCAAACGGTATATCGATTGGTGGCGTAAAACCAGATTGATACCTATATAGAGAAGTTATTAAATATATTATTAAGTTAACAATATTTAAATTAAATAATTCTCACTAACCTCTCTATGACTTTAAAGGAATCTTCTTTTTCATTTATTGACTCGCCGGCTTTAACAATACCTTGCATACATATAGCTATTATAGGTGCTACCTCTGATTCAACTTTAGCAGCACCAACTATAAACTCCCGTATACCTCGAGTGCGTTTCTCATCTAACTCTTGTAAACGATTAAATACCTAAAGATAATATTTCATATTAATATTTTTTATTTTTTATTTTAATAAAATAGTTATGGTGTTTTTTATTACCGCAGGTAGCATCACATTATAATGTTGTTGTTGTAAATTATTTGTTTTTTGTAATTGATTTGCGTATTCATTTTTTGCATCATCGGACTGTTGTATTTTTTGGGTCATAACATTTTTGTGCCGTTCCACTTCTGCTCTACTTAAATTAAAATCCATATCAGCCTTTTTATAACTTTCTATGGCCTTTTCTGAGTCCCTATAGGCTTTTTCATAGTTACGTTTTGCACGTTCTAGTGCACCTAATTGATAATTAAGGTTCTGTTGTAGTGTTGTGCCGTCATTTAAACATTTCTGTGAAAAAAAAAATACATTATATTACAATTATTGTATTATGGGAAATATGTCATAAATACACTCACTTTTCTTTCTTCTCTTAATGTTTTTGATAGCAGCGTTACCGCTTGTATAATTTGTAATTGTAGTGATTCAGCAACAACTTCACGTTGTCCCGCTAAATCACCGATTTCTTTCAGCACATTTCGAAATGCCTGCCAAGAAGAGAATCTGAAAAGGAAATGAATAATACAATTATTTAAAATTTTAAAAATTTAACATTATAAGATTTGCTTTCAGATAGGATATTAAAGTAGTTACACAAGAACATTAATGGATTTGCCATCTTAACTAGGAATCTGAGTAACCGAATAACATGATGATTCGGTTCGGATATCAACAAAATATAATTTAAGTAAATATATTTTTTTTGTTACTCGGTTACTGAGCTCGTTACTCAAGATTGTGAATACTACTATTTGTATTCTGACTTGTATTCATTTGCTAACTTGTTTTCATTTTAGTGTCCTTTAAATAAAAGTAGTGGGCCTAATATTACTGTTAAAGTTTTCTCAACTTTTAGTTGAAAAACAATCTTAGTTCAACTTTATTTATTAATCAATTTAGTTTTTGGCAGATCATAAAGTTTTTTTGGAGTATTGCCACATACCCATCATCAGTGGTCTTGGAATTATTTCTTGTATTTAATTATTTGTAAATAATTATTTGACACTGCAAGTACCAAGAGTTGAACTCGTGTCCTAATTAGTAAATAATAAAATTTTATTATTATAATTAACTACTGTTCGAAATATCTTTCTATTGAAAACGAATTTTAAAAATCAATTTGAACAATTTATGCAATCTAGGTAATTTCAAGAAAATATTATTTATTATGTTGAGGCTAGTTAAGTCGGTGCACTTGACCACTTTTACACTCCATTAACTGCCAGATTTTTTCATAACCCCTCTCTATGCCTTTTTATTTATTAAAAACATTTAGTAGTTTATAGTATAGCGATATCATCATCTTGAAATTAAAATTTTTATAAATTTTTTACTATATGTTATATGTACTCAAAAAGTTGTTATGATACGCGTCTGTTAATAGCTAGTATAATTTTAATAACTACATATTTAACTTTAATTTGTATAATGTGTGACTATAAAATTCTTTTTAATTATTATTTTATTGTAAGCATTGAAGATTTATTAAAGAAAATAGAAAATATTACTTAAGCCTTTTTAAAATAAAATTAATTTTTTTTTTCACATGGCAGTACCATAAAATATAAACTGCCAAAAACATCGCATTAACATAGAACCAAAAACATACAAACTGCTTCTGTTAAAAAATCTAACAGTCGTTAGATTTTAACATAATGTTGGGACGCTGTTATGAGTTAACATTCAACTTTACAGAATATATTTTAATATGGAAATGTTTAATTTTGCAAAGAACTTGAATTTTATTAATTAAAAAATTAACACTACTACTAACAAATACATACATGTTTATTTGTATTTATTTAACACATTTTTTTAATGCTTATACTACATTTTCTAAAACAATATATATAAAATATATGAAAATAGAGGTTTTTGGTAATAGTAAAATATAAAATCTTAAATAAATACATAAACGGATTTGACTCTAACGTTAATACGAATAGCTGTTGTTATAACCTAATTCACAATATAGGTTATGTTTTAACTATTTAACTTTATGTGTTGAAAAAGGGCAAAATGTTTACTCACAGTATAAAAAATTTTTTTTTTTGAAAAGCAACTAATAATTTTTTTGTAGGATCAAAGTTTACATTTTTAATTTTTATTTAATTTAAAATCAAATGATGTTTAAAACCAGCTGTTTTTATTGTTATTTATAATTTGATTTTTAATAATAAAACCTGTGAACTTCAGAGCCGCTGTTGTAAAATTGAATTATCTAACCATCATCAAAATTTAGCTTGATGTCAAGCATTTCTGAAGTCGTGAATCAACAGTGGCTGACTGAACTAGAAAACATAGTGGAAGACAGAATAATATACGAAAGACGAAGAAAAATATAGGAGTTCATTTTTTTATAGATTAAGTCGTGACAAATTATTTCAGGATTTTAGAGATCCATAGCTAATCACAAAGACACAGCTAATTGTGTATCTCCGTTTATAAAAAACAAAATGAAAATTATTGTTATAATATTTTTTAATTGTTGTGTAAATCATCGTTGTTGTAGAAATCAAAAGATTTACACAAACAAAAATTAAATTTAAATTTAAAATTTTAAGAAAATAACTATTCAAAGTGTTTTCAATATTCAAAGTTTAAGTGTAATTACTTTTAATTGAAACTATTAAAATTAAAAATATATAAAAATGAACACACATTGATATATAATTAAAATTAGTTTAAATACTTTTAAAAGCACGCAAATGCTAAATTGAATTAATAATCATTTTGCATAATTTATTCAAAATGCGAATAATAGAAAAAGTATTTTAAGGAATAAAAACCATATTTATACATTTGATATGGCAGTTAAAAATTGGTTTGGAATTTTTATTAATTTACAAATATTGTTCAATATTTTAATTAAAATGCAAAGAACGTTTTTACAATCGAGGACAAAATGATGTCATTTATGATATTTAAACTAAATTTTAGCGCCAGAATTTTAAAATTTACACTTTTTTTATGTTTCAAAAAAAAAAAACGCACGTATATCACTTTAGTCCAATATGTAAATTTTTGCTAATTATACAGAAAATACGAAATGCATTGATGCGTCATAATGATGCAAAATATACATAAAAAACTGCAAGAAAATAAAATAAATATTTTCAAAAGTTTTTATTTATTTTTTTTTTTTGTTTGTTTTAAAAAAAAATTTTTTTAAATAAAAAATTTGGTTAATGCATTTTTGCTTTTGTCAGCGTGTAATATGGTCACTGAACTTTTGAGAGATGAGTATGAAAAATATGTCTGTAGTGTTTGTAATTAAGGTTTTTATTTAATAAAGTTAACGTATTATAGATTTATATACGTTATTTATATTTTAAAATTGCAAATAAGTTCTTAAAAATTATATTTCTATTTATTATATTCAACGTAAAACAATACTGAATCATCATGTACACATATTTTTCTGAAATACTCATATAGTTAATGCATTGATATGCAGAGATTATTTTCTACGTGATAGATTTTCAAATACAGTCACAATTTCCAACTTATTTCAACCATACAAAAAATCAGTTTAAGTAGGTATTTCTAGAACCGGTGGTGGACCTGTCATGTCTGACTGCTACAGCAACAACAAAAAAAGGACTATTTGAGTTTGCGTGTATACAAAAACTAGAACACTGTATTTATTTTGTATAGCGAATACCCTCTCAATGCAAATGTAAACCTTAATATTTACATGGTGATCTTTATTTTTCACACACTATGGATGTGTAGGTCTAGTGGTTATTCGCTATAAATAACCATAGATAAGTAAATGAAATAAAAGGATGAAAGAGTCCTCAACAATTAGTTAAGAAATTAATTTTAATTCCAGATCACTCGTAATATTGGGTAGAAGGATAGGTATATTAGAATCAGCCGGACGCATTCATGGTAAGAATCTAGTCAATGTAAATATTGGAAATATAACTGAGTATGTTAAAGAGTAGGACGCCGAAGAGCTTAAGTCTGGTTCTGCGCAAGCCTGGACAAGCTTACACATAAACAAGACAAGTACTGTTCGAGTGTTGGCGAACACGCACTACAGCAGATTTGATCTTAACTTATGCTGTCCTATAGTCCAGTATCCCGTTAAGACAAATATTAACCTAAATACTTCCGATTTATTTCTATGACTGCTTTATCATGCTGCAGTATTGAATATTCTAATAAGTATTTTAATGAGCAGAAATATGTGTTGGCCAAAGAAATATATAGAGTAATCAATATAGCAATATAAATTTAAAAAAAGATCCAAGGACCACTAATGAGGACCACTGTAACAATAATGGGAGAAAACAAAAATGGAAATTTAAAAGAATATGTTTTTTGTCATGCAATGCATTACTCATATTTATGCATTTTCTATTTTAAAATAACTTCTTCGTTATGTTTGACTTTGAAAAAATCTATTAATAAAGTTTGCTATTAAACTAAGCTAACGTAACAACCCCAATTCTTCACTAGTAAGATGGCAAACTAATCTAATAAATGCTAATTTATAATTTTATGAGATAATATATTTCTCAATAACATTCAGGAGAAGTAATATGAGTAGTTATAATAATGTAGTAGAAAATAAATTATACATAAAATAGAGAATAATTATTTGTATGCTTTTTTAAGTCAGTGACATTACATTAAGAAATATGCAGAACTTATAAAGATCAAAGAAAACAGATAAACCATCTGTTTTTCTAAATGTAAAACTAAATTAAGTTAAATAAATACTCAAAAGATGACTAAAAAAATTTTAAATTATAAATTTTTAATGAATGTTTAAAACTATAAATTGTATGTAATAATTTTTATCATTTTGTAACCTAACCTCATTTTATGAAAATGTATGTAAAAATCTTGCCAGCTTAGACGCTGAGCGAGCATATTCTCTAATATGCCCCAACATAACATTCGCCCTTCTAATAATAGTAATATATATAATAACATATGCTTGTTAATAAAATAAAAAATATGACTGCTATATTTCTATTTATTATATTTCAAAACAAGATTATTTCTTTAGATTTTCTTAAAGTTAATTTATATGAACACAAAATATACTGCTTTTTGAGCTGGAAGCACTAAAATGCAACTACAATTCTTATTTAGATATGTTTTTTTTGTTTTTTATATATAAGAATAAGTATATTTATGTACTTATACTTATAAAATCTATACATATTTTATATATAAATAAATTTATTACTGTGCTTCATGGTTTTTTCAAAATAATACGAAAATAGCAGCCAAATTTTTCAAACATTGGCGAATAGCCAATAATAAATTATAAACTAAAATAAATACGTGCTTAACAATATGCAACCGATTTTTTTTTCGTTTATTTCGAAATTAAATATGTTGTCATAATATAATTAATTGAAATGTATGATTAGATTTGTATCTTTAACATAGCTAACTTAACCATTTAGCATAAATACTTACTCATTATCTTCCTCCTCTTTTTTCTTGGGCTGATAGTTTTTCACTAGTCGTCTGTGAAGCAGTTAAGAGAAGAAAGAAAATAAATTAATTAATTAAACTTATTAATTTTATTATATATCAATAAAAACAAATTAAGTGAAATTTATGCTAATAATTAATTTAAATAATAAATTTAATTTTTTAAATAAATTAAATTATATATTTTCATATTTTTTTTATTTTGCTTTTTGTGTTGCAATGCAGAGTTACGTATTTAATGTTTTATTTTTTTTTTGTTTTGATTTTGAAAGTTAAGAAAAAATTAATGGAACATGAAATCTTTACTATGTAAAAAGCATCATAAAACAAAAAAGTTATTAAAAATGCATAAACGCAATAATAATAATAGAAAAAAAATAATAATTTTTAGTTGAGATATAGAAAGTAGACAACTTTTAGTGAACTTATTTATGAAGATGGAAAACAATATACAGCAGTTAACTGCAGAAATTGTAGATTTTTGTGGTCTACCAGATTTAATCATGGGAATTTCTTATATGTAAGATTCATAGTCACTTGAAATACACAATAAACGCCGCTATATGGTGAGGTAAAAAAAGCACTCAGTTGAATGCAAATAAAAACAAAGTTTATAGTGGAGCTTAGATGAGCGAAGTCGACAGTGCCACCACAAATGTTTATGATGATGTTCGAGTCGTTATAGTATATGAGTAAATCAGATACAAATGGAGACAACATTTTATGCAGTCAAAATGACAAACTACAGATTAGCATATACTTAGGGCAACTGAAGTCACACGCTAACTTGAGCTTGAGAAAATCTCAAAAATCTCATCATCACTGCAAGATGAAGAGTTGCTGCAATCTTAACAATTTGCGGATTAGTGGATGGCTTGCTTGCGGTTATCTCGAGCAAGAAAACCTTCAGTAAAGTAAAATAATATTAAAAAAAAAATAAATAATTCAAAGATTGATAAGATAAGTTGACAATGTTTCCGGATTGTGAGAAATGACACTTTAAGTAAAACGATATACAAAGTGTAGAAATAAATATGTAATTAAAGCAAAGTAGAATTTGAAATAAAGTCTAAAGTACTTTCACCCTCAATGCGATGTACTTATACTCGTAAGTTACTCAAGTAGCAGAAAAATACACTAAAAATTAAAACTGACCAAATCATAACACAACAAATTTGTGGCAATGTGTAAAATGAAACCCCCTTGGTATAATCACATTACAAGTTGTTGTGGCTTATGGAGGGAGGCGTTAGCTAGCACTAACCCATTGTAAATAGGGGCGCAGAGAAATAATAGAAATAATAGAAACAAAAGTGTAAAAGTGTCGCATGTGTAAAGTGTGTCAGCAAAGTGTCGGTACCAGCTCTTCAAAAGACAACATCACACAAATGCCAGCACATAATTTATCTGATTCTATGAGTGCGAGCAAATTGGTGCCATTTATTAACGTATGTTTTAAGTGAGACATATTAACACGAAACTTCAATAGGAGAACATCAGCAACAGGCCGACTTTCCAGACTAACATTAGAGAACTTTTATTCTATTAATAATAGAATGACAAATGAATACACATGCTTCGGTAACTGCTAAAGGTGTGTTTAATTGCAAAAATTTCACATTTAGCAAAAATATTTAACTTTGCATTACTACAATATAATCATAACAAATGGAACTTATATTCGTACATGTAATACTAAGAATTATAGGCGTGTATAGGCGACCCATTGCTGATAAGTTTTTAATTAAATAAAATTATAAAATTTGTTATTTCATAACTTAGTTTAATTAAATAAGTTTACTTTCATTTTGAGAAAGGTCAGTTTTTATGAGGATAGTTTATTAAGATTGATGTTACATATATATTTCAGTGGTTTAATAAATAAATGTGGGTTAAGATAACAACGCAAAAAGTTTGTTTAGCACTGACAAGCCCTATTTGAAGGACTTTATAACACGCCTCGTACTAACAGCTTTTAAATCTTATTTGTTCTATCTTTATATTTACACACCTTGTACGTGTTTAAAAAAAACACAACAATAATTAGAGAAACAAAAATTCTAAAACATTAAATCTATGGATTAATGTTTAACTTTCAGCTACGAATATATAATAAGTTTGGCCATTAAAATATCCAGAATGATGGGTGATCATAACAGAAAACTATCATAGATGAGTCTTCTAACTTTTAGCTACATTGTTTGAAATAAGTTTGACGATTGAAAGAACTTATGAATTTTGATCTGGACTGCAATAAAAAACTGTTATTACATATAAAAATAAATTTTAAATAAATACAATATGGTAGCTTATGTTAGACGCCTAATGGAAAAAAAATCCCCTCTCCCAATAATTTATGTTGTAGTATTTATGTGATCCGGATAATCTTGATTCAAAAGCTACCTTTATCGCTTATATTACTATAATTTCTTTTGAGAATTTAATGAGGCTTCCAATATCAGTTTGGAATAGTTTTTCGAAGTCTACATAAAAAGGTTTTCTAAGATTTGTAGCGCTACTTCAATAGATGAGAGCTTTGCAATTCTTCCATTTCTTTTTGGAAAAGAGCGCAAAGCTATGATAAAATAAATTTATATACTACAGTTAATAACAAGATTTTGCTTTAAATTATATATTCGCAAAAACAGTTCAGAACGAAATGCCATGGATTCTTTTTGTTATTAAAAACCCGTTTTGCTATACAATAAAACAATTTTAACTATTAAATTACAAATTAAATTATTTCATTTTCATTGAAATAGAAGAAAAACTTATATTATGCAGTAAAAAGAGTGATGGCAAAATGTTTTATATTGCGCAGTAATCATGTTAAGAATGCTATTCTAAAAACATTAATTAATATAAGTATTACAGACTTTGTCAAATCACAGATATTAAGTATGTCTTCTCTTATTTAGATGTCTACATATCAACTGATAACAACTATCAATAAGACATACAAAAGAGACAAATAAAAGCTAGGGAAACATTTGGAGCCCGTAACATAATGTGAAAATGGAACATCTCATTTTAAATAAGATTATTTCCTTTTTTTATATGACAGTGAAATTTTATTAATTATTCTATCAGTTATGAGTATTTTGACCACCAATCAACTAGTTATGGTTCAAAACAAGAGAATGATCAATTACTAGATCAATAATTATATAATAGTGAAAGTGGTCCATTCCACTTATTTATTTAGTCTTTGACTTATATTACGAGTGTTCTTCCACATACCAAACACTAAATAATGTAACTACGAGCCATCAATTATTAAAAACAAAATTATTCAAAAAACATAAAGATAAAGTAAAGGAAAAAAATTATTAGTATGTATGAGAAAAACTGAGAGAACCTTAATTTTAACATTCACGAAGAATATTAGAAGTTTGCATAAAATAATATGTGTTGTAATAAATGTTTGTCACTACAACTGTACTTATTTAAACAGAAAACATTTTGCATTAGGTATAAGGATCAGAGAATTACAAGAAAATTTTCCTTCTAATAAAAGAAGTACCTTCCTCTTCTATCTACAACTTGGCAATAGCAAAAGCAAAGCACTTAAGTTATGTGCAACTTCCAGATTAACACGGTGCACCTATAATAAAAACCATAATACATTTTCTCTTTGAATGCCCGTCTTTAGCGTCCAGGTGATATAGGTTCTTAGGAAGATACTTCTTTGATAGAATATCAGACTGTTCATCGGTGAAGATGAAAGACCTATTAAATTATCTAAATTCAGTGGGATGGATTTAGTCTCTACTTTTCTTACTAGGGTTCTTGCGAAGAATGTGATAGCAAAAAGGTGAAAAATCGCTAATTAAGGTACATGGACGTTATTTAATGGCTTGCCACTGCAACCAACCAACCAACCACCAGAGCAAAGGGTAATGACGACGAGGGTAATCACAAAAAAATAAGAAAATTTCACTCATTTTCTGGCTATGGCAGTTTTCTATGATATCGGATAACTCCATCTTGGTAAGATAGTAAGGCCGATTATCTGCACTAACATACTATCGATTTTTTTTACTGATTTTTTGTATTGAATCGAAAACACAGAGTACAGTTTGAAAGAATGAAAATTTTAAAAAGTTTTACTACTTTTCGATACCAAAATATCGTTTAAGGAATTGTTATTACTTTTTTGCCTTCGTTCGTATTAAAATCAAGGCATAATATATTACACAGAAATTTATTACCAAAATAATATCAATATATGCGATTCAATAAATAATTAATTATTAATTGAAAAACTTTTGAATAAACCTTCAAATTGAAAATTATTTACATAAACACGAACCTAATCAGTTCTGGTTAATTAAATAATTTACCTCAACAATAAACAATTACCATGCAAAACAGCATTTACACTATTCTGATAATGAATGAGATAGTATATCGAATGTAATTCTTAGTTTCGGTCCATTCGGAGCATTTAATTTTTAAGTCAGTTAAGTCAGCCGCCGCTTTATTCGCGAGCTCAAATGCAATTGAGCTTGCGCTTGAACGTGTTGCAAGAGAATGTTCAAGTCAATTACTAAAGCTACTTCGGAAGGGGGACTTGAAGGTTAACAACCAAAATTAAATTGGCCTTTGGTTTTTTACTTTAACATTATTTTCTTAAGCGTTTTTATTTACAATGATTTTTTTTCTTGCTATTTTCAAAAAGGCATGAGCGGTCGACATCACTAAGTATCAAGTGAATGATTGACAGCTTTCAGTGAGTACATTCATGATGTGAGTACGTATGTAAGTAAATTAAAGTACTCATATCAGCATTTCTGCTAGTTTATGTGGTAACACTTAATTCACTTAAAATTAGAAAAAGAAATCACATTTCGTAAAGATACGCTTTTCTATTTATAGTGCCTATTACATGCTTCTAGAACGGAAGCAATATTAAGAACTTACT